AAGGATAAGCTGAAAACTTAGATAAAAGATAGAATATGATATTCTCTATTGCTTTTGTCACTAACGAAGTATCCTGGAGGCCAGGCAAGGTGGCTCATGCCTATAATCCCAGCACCTGAGGAGGCCAAGGTGGGCAGATCACTTGAGCCTAGGAGTTCAAGACCAGCCTAGGAAACACAGCAAGACCCCAAAAAAATAAAAATAAAATTAGCCAGGTATGGTTGTACATGCCTGTAGCCCCACCTACTTGGGAGGCTGAGGTGGGAGGATCACCTGAGCCCAGGAAGGTCGAGGCTGCAGTGAACCATGATCAAACCACTGCACTCCAGCCTGGGCAATGGAGTGAGACCTTGTCTCAGAAACAAATAAAACAAAAAAACAAAAAAATCCGAAGTATCCTGGAGGCCCTTCTCCATAAATCCATGCAATTGATCCCTTTTCATGGCTGCATAATACTTCTCAGTGGCACTGTACTTGGTTAATTCACCCAGTTTCCCTCTCTTGGATAGTTGGAATTCAATTATTTCTTTACACTTTCCAAAATAATTCCCTGTGATGTAGATCCAATGACCCTCACAAAAACCCTGAGTGAGGTAGGTCCCATTATACCTGAAATTGACTAACATGACTAACATAGGAGACCCTCACGGCTTGCTCAGTTACACATTGCAGAGGTGGCCTAGCCAAGATTTTTCAAATGACAGCATTGAGATATAATTTACACACCATAAAATTCGCTCATCTAAAGTATACAATTCAATGGTTTTTGGTATATTCACAGACCATCATAATGAACAATCATCCACAATCTAATTTTAGAACATTTCAATCACCAGGAAAGTAACTCCAAAAGCATGCATGCCAAATTTAAGATCATTAAGATGTATGCCTATGTGTTTTTTCCTAAGGGTTTTATAGTTTGTTTTGTTTTGAAACAAGGTCTCAATCTGTTGCCCAGGCTGGAGAGCAGTGGTGTGATCATGGCTCGCTGTAGCCTTGACTTCCCTGGTCTCAGGTGATCTTCCCATCTCAGACTCCTGAGTAGCTAGCCACCCGGCACGTGCCACCACGCCTGGCTAATTTTTGTATTTTTGTAGAGACAGGGTTTCACTAAGTTGCCCAGGCTAGTCTTGAACTCCTGGACTCAAGCAGTGCACACACCTCAGCCTCCCAAAGTGCTGGGATTACAGGTATGAGCCACCGTGCCCCACCCAAAGTCTTATTTTAAGATGTGCTTTTTAATGACATATCATGTAATTAGTAAAGTCACTTCCTTTGTATCCCTTATTTTTGATGACCACTGTAAATAAAGTCTTTTCCCCCCATACTTTCCACATACAAACCCTATTGATTTGTTAATGTTTTTTCCAACAACCCTGAGTTTTCTAATCGTTATCACTGTTCATTTTTAATAGGATGCAAACTTAGAAGTCTTTCTGCCTCAGCCTCAGCTGACATCCCAAAGATGGTGAATGAAACAAAATTCTAAGAGAACTTCATTTCAGAACAGGATCTTACACAGCTGTTGAGTGTAAAATTCTGCTATCATTAAACTCCTCCTTTAGGAGGGTGGAGAGGCTGAGAGAAGAGAGAAGAAAATATATTTTTAAGAGATTGTTATTTTTAAAACAGTGTTTTTCCAGGGGGAAAAACATGAGTGATTCTCCCTTCTTTACAACACAAAGCGGTCCCTCAGACCCTGAGTCCACCAGGAACCAAAGTGGTGAGAGAATTCTTGGCAAAAATGTACATGTTTCTAGGATTTGGGAAGGCAAAGTGACTGAGGTGGCTAATTCTCACCTTAGCATTAGGTGAAGACCCCATGGGTGGAGGCTGTCTGGGTTGTCTTGGGTCCTATCAAAGAGGACTGACTGGACAAACCCACCCACCAGAGTGGGTGGGCCACTGCATGCCCAGAGGAAGCACTGGGGCAGCAGCTGGAGAAGAGGCTATGTCCATGAGAAGGGAAGCCTATCTGGAGGTTCCAAGCAGCAGGTTCTCTTGGAAGGTAAAAGATGACTTACACTAAATTATAGCGGTATCGGTCATGTTAGCCTCTTCTTGTCTCTGACTTCTGTCTTCTCATTAGCTCCCAATCCATGAGAGCTGAAGACTACCTATAGGGAGTAAAGAGGAGAAAAAATAAAGGTTGGGGAATTAGAGAAGAAACTAATCATGTATCCCTTCACATTGCAGGCTTCCAGCAGAAGAAATTCATCCAGCAAAAAAATAAAAACTACAAATATATATATATACACACACACACACACACACACCCAAATAGGAATTTTGAGAGTGACAGTTACGAGATACAGTTTTTTAATCTTTAAAATACTGGTCCCAGTGGTGTTCTATTCATTTAAGCATATCAGTCATCAGTCAATACCAGGTTTTCCCAATAAATGATCTTTTTTGGAGGGGGAGGGAGGGAGTCTTGCTCTGTCGCCCAGGCTGGAGTGCAGTGGTTGGCTCACTGCAACTTTCACCTTCGAGTTCAAGCGATTCCCCTGCCTCAGCTCCCGAGTAGCTGGGGCTACAGGCATGCGCCATCATGTCCAGTTAATTTTTATATTTTTAGTAGAGACGGGGTTTCACCATGTTGGTCAAACTTCTGACCTCAGGTGATCTGTCTGCCCCAGCCTCCCAAAGTGCTGGGATTACAGGCGTGAGCCACCGCGCATGGGTCCAATCTTACCCTCTGAAAATTATTTTGCCTCTTCCTCTCCATTAAAAAAAAAAAATCACTATTTTACTTGTCTAATTACCAGACTCAAATTCTATAGGCATATATAAAATGCCCAACACTCGGAAATCAATCTAAACAATGCATACTTTAGTCAGCACTCGGTTTCTCAAGCACTCCACCTAAGTCGCACAGTGTGCTACATTCACAGTCACCATAGGTCGTGCACACAAAGTACTTTAAAAATTAGGCATATTCATAGCTGTATCACCCACTACATAGTCATAATCCCACAGGCCCCCACGTCGTGCACAATTTCGCTGAACTCATACTTCTACAAAAAGTAACAACCTTTCACTCACAATGCTCTCACTGTCGCCTCTCCGAAGTCGGACACAGGCTCAAACACAAATCGACTCGCACCTAATTTAAGTTAAAACTTAAGACACGCAGGGACCGCATCACTTTCATAAACAACCAGTTCCACAACGTCACGCAGAATAACACATTCCCCTACCACAACACACAGGACAGGTACGAAAAGCCACACACATACGGAGCGCCTGTTGTATGCCAGGCCGTGCTCCAGGAGCCGGGGGACGAAAATCAGACGAAATTCCTGCCACTGCGGAGCTCACCCCCACCTCGGGCAACCGGTTCCCTTCTTCAGGCACTCCCCGGCCCGCGCTCTGGTTCCTGCTTCTCTCCCAGCCTTCTCCGGGGCCCGGACTCGCATTTTCCTCCCGTCAACTCCTCGTCCCAGGTTGCTCCTCTTCCCTTCTTGCTTTCCCCAGCCCAGGTTCCCTTCTGCCTTCTCAGCTTTCCCTACGGGTCCCACCACCCGACCAACCAGCCTCACCTTCGGTCGCCGGCCGGGCGTCTGCACATGCGTACTCCCGCGCGGAGGGCGACTCCCAGGTGTCTCCGCGGCGCATTCCTGCGGGCCACCGGTTACGCGCGCCTTCTCCACATCCGGGCATTACCGGCCTTGGACTACATTTCCCACAGGCTCCCGGGCCGTTTTCGAACTTTGATCTCAGGTTCCCCTTCCAAGTTCTCGTAGTGCATGGCTGGGGTGCGGGCGGCGCTCAAAGTGAGGAAGCCCCGGGGTCCCGGGACGCAGACGGGGTGTGCAGGGCCGTAACTCGGACCTGTGTATGCGTGTGTGCGTGTTTGACGCCAGGACAAGGCGGCTGTGTGTGCGGCGAGGAGGCTGCAACAGGTGCGTGATTGTGTTCCTGTCCCTGCTCGGATGCGGGACCTTTGGGTGGCTGTGGTCGGCTGTCATGTGGGGTGTGTGACACTGTAGGGTTTGAGACCTCCCATCGTGACAGTGTGGCCTAGTGTGATGGAAGAACCTTTAAGTCTGTGGTGTTGTGTGTGTAACGGGTAAAGCTTCATTTCTGCAGTGCTGTGTTTAATGTTGGGACTGAGGGGTCTGTCGAAGATCTCCCCCATGTGCCTGTGAGGACTACGATGATGCCTATGTTAATCAGAGTCATCTTGCAATGAAGCATGGCCCGCGTTGTCTTCTCAGGGCACCCCCGTCCCCAGTTCTCAGCCTGGTGTTTAACACGGGATCCTGGTAGAGTCCCCACCTATGTGACAGTTTTAGACTTGATTGTTTCTTGGGCTCTGCATCTCTGAGTTCCCAGCTTCCTTTTTTCTCCTGCTTTATAGCTGTATAGACCCCAGCTGCAGTGAAATAGCCGTAAAAGGGAAGGGATAATCGAGTGGTGGAGTAAAATCTGCAAACAGAAAAAGCACAGACCTGTTTTTGGAACGAGGCTTTGTAAGTGTCTCTCAGGCAGAGTTCTGGGAAGACGTGATGGGGAGAGCCTAGGAGTAGGATTCCTTCCTCAGATGCTCTCCCTTGGGAACTCCCAGAGGTCAGGTTCCATGTGAACCACATCATTCCCAGAGATGTCTCCCCGGGAGACTTATGTGAATTTAGAGAAAGTCCCCAGTCCTGGGAATCAGTGACCCTGGCCTTTCCCTTGAATATTAAGAAGGATTATCAGTACTCCCATCTCCCTTTTACTTCCATCTGAGTATGTGTATGGTAGATGATGAGAGCTTGTGTGGTGGGAATAATTTTTTCCAGTTTAGCCAGTCTGGGTTCCAAGAAAGGTCTGATGTCTCATGATTCCTTACCCCTTTCCTTTCCCCTTCTCCCTTGCCTTGAGGTTCTCTAAGAGCCCCAAGGAAAGGGAACCATTGCTGAGCATATCTTAAAACCAAGGTCAAGGAAGTTTTGTTGTATTTTCTATTTTTGTTCTCTTTTTGTTTTTCAGAAAGGGAGTGTTTTTTTCTCCTCCTGAAATGCTAGTCAGTGGTTTGGTTACTATTAGGCAGGGCCTTGTGAAATGCTTTGACCAACAGAATGTGGTGGAAGTGATATTGTGAGACTTCTGAGACAAAGCTTCAGGAAGTCGTGCAGCTTTTTCTCTTCCCCTTTTCCTGCCCTGAGACCACCATGACTGAAGGCTAAGAGCAGCTTACTTGAGGATTAAAGATCTCTTGGAGAGAGAAGTCCAGTGAGTAACAATGGCCAGGTATTTCAGGGAGACCATCTTGGACCATCCAGCCTCCACCAAGCCAACAGCTGACAGCTGCCACATGAATATGATCAGCAGAAGACCCACTCAGGCAAGCCAAGCCCAAATTGCCAACCCCCGCAAATAATGAGCTAATTATTTTTTGTTTTAAGCCATAAACTTTTGAAGTGGTTATATAGCAATAGATAACTGAAACAGGTGTTTAACTTTCCAGACTTTTAAAATGACCATATTGATATAATTGTATTGTTCAACCTGTTTTGTAAAGTGATTTCTCTGAATAGTATCTTGAAAAGATTCCTTATCCTTAACTATTTTCTACAACTTTGCATTTGTTTTAGTATTATATTACATGGATAGTTGGTAATTTGACTACTAACTTCCCTTTGAAATTTCTTTTCCTTGCTGTCTAGCTCCCATGTCTTGACCAACTTTACATTCCCCTCCAGGACCTTATGGGCACACGGGTTCCTGTCATTTCACGGGTATGTAGACTCAGGAATGTGGCACTGACTTCTGAGTGGAGTACAGATGACTGACACACATTCCCCCAAATCAGAGGAATTTATTCAGGGGTGTGATATAACAACACCTACATACATTTAACTAGCCAATTGGGTCTCCCCTTTTTTTGTTTTGAGAGCAAGTGTCACTCTGTCGCCCAGGCTGGAATGCAGTGGTGCGATCTCGGCTTACTGCAACCTTTGCCTCCCAGGTTCACGCGATTCTCCTGCCTCAGCCTTCCGAGTAGCTGGGACTACAGGTGCCCACCACCATGCCCGGATAATTTTTGTATTTTTAGTAGACATGGGGTTTCGCCAAGTTGGCCAGGCTGGTCTCAAACTCCTGACCTCAGGTGATCTGCCTGCCTTGGTCTCCCAAAGTGTTGGGATTACAGGCGTGAGCCACTGCGGCCAGCCGGGTCTCCCTTTTTACATGTTTTCCCCTTTCCAGTTCAAATTCTGTATTCTGGGAACATCTTACTTTCTTCACCCTGATTGATTAGGGAATCTTCAGGGTTCTTAGGTTATTTTCTGAAGGACCGGTTTAAGATTTCTAGGTGGAAATGGGCGTCTCTCCTGTGTTATTTATAAAGTGTTATCACCCTAATCCTTCAGAATACTTTCTAAACTTCTTTCTGCTTGATGATTAAGGAACTGTCTCAATTCTCCATAGCCACATCAGACCAAAATTCCATTTCTTTGCCTATGTGAAGGATTTATTATTAATTACCCTATTAATTTATGTCCAGACCAGATGTGATTTCCTTCTTGGAGCAATAGTTCGTGAAGAGGTTAACAGGAGTTCTGTGTCCAGGTAAATGAGAGGCAACTGAGAAGAGGAACTCATTGTGTATAAAATCTTAGGATTCTAGATTTAGGACCTTTGAGACAGTATTTGAATTAGTGCTCCGGAATGTCTATGAAGAAAGTTTGGGTCTCTTCAGCCAGAATTCAGACCATTTCAACATTGCAATCCAGGTATCATACACATATCTCCTTTTATTTTTTTTTTCTGCTCTCAAAGCAGATTTCTCTCATTGTAAAATTAGTAGATTCTTAATTCAGCAGATTGGAGATTAAAAAAGGTTAAAGTAAGCACTTTGAACATTTTATTCCAAATAACTTCACCTCATTTATGAATAAGTGCATGGATATAGGCATATAGGATTTTTCTATTCAGAACAGGGTTATATAACAATTGTTTTGAAATCTACTTGTTTCTTCTAACAAAATATAGTGAACAAATTTTCATGTCACTAAATTATGAACTGTGTCATAATCTTTTAATGGCTGCACTGTTTTGTTTGGATATGTAAGTTCTGTCCAGCTTTTTCCCATTATATGCAATGTTTTACTGCATATGCCTTTCTGTGCACATGTAAATTGTATCTTTTTATAGAGTCTTAGATATTTTGCTGAGAATGAGGCTTTCATAGTTAAAACCTGCTTACACATCTTTATCAATTGCCCTGATTAAGTTTGCACCAATATACAACATACTATGAGAGTGTCTATTCACTACTATATGGTATCATTAGTCTTTTATTTATTTATATTATTATATTTTATTATTATTTGAGACAGAGTCTCACTCTGTTGCCAGGCTAGAGTGCAGTGGCATGATCTCGGCTCACTGCAACCTCCGCCTCTCAGGTTCAAGCAATTCCCCCACCTCAGCCTTGCAAGTAGCTGGGACTACAAGGCGCGTGCCACCATGCATGGCTAATTTTTTGTTTTTAGTAGAGACGAGGTTTCACCATGTTGGCCAGGATGGTCTTGATCTTCTGACCTCGTGATCTGTCCTCCTTGGCCTCCCAAAGTGCTGGGATTACAGGCGTGAGCCAACGCACCTGGCCATCATTAGTCTTTTAAGTCCACTAATCCAGTGGAAATTGTGTTTATTTAAATGAATTACCCATGCACAGGTTTCATTAAGTGTAATAAAATTTGGGCTTCAGAAGCAAAAACCAGAACTGAAAGAAAATTGGTTTTGTAGTTAGAAAAATGTGATTTAAAAATGCAGATATTCCATTTATTTTGAGTGTGTATAGCTCATGCCTGTAATCCCAGCACTTTCAGAGGCTGAGATGGGTGGAACACTTGAGTCCAGGAGTTTGAGACCAGCCTGGGCAATATGGTGAAATCCCCTATCTACTAAAAATAAAAAAAATCAGCTGGGTGTGGTGGCACACCTGTAGTCCTAGCTACTTGGGAGGCTGAAATGGGAGGATCACCTGAGCCCAGGAGGTTGAGGCTGTAGTGAGCTGTGATTGTGCCAGTACACTCCAACCTGAGCGTTGGAGTGAGACCCTGCCTCAAAAAAACAAAAACAAAAAACTCTTAAAATCAAGGGAAAGACCCAAAAACCTGATAGAAAAAAGTGGGTAAAAGAAATGAACACATGAAATCACACACACGCAGACACAGAGAGCGAGCGAGCGAGGAAGCACAAATTTTAAAATTATAGAGGCCCGGCGCAGTGGCTCAAGCCTGTAATCCCAGCACTTTGGGAGGCCGAGACGGGCGGATCACGAGGTCAGGAGATCGAGACCATCCTGGCTAACCCGGTGAAACCCCGTCTCTACTAAAAAAAATACAAAAAACTAGCCGAGCGAGGTGGCGGGCGCCTGTAGTCCCAGCTACTCGGGAGGCTGAGGCAGGAAATGGCGTAAACCCGGGAGGCGGAGCTTGCAGTGAGCTGAGATCGTGCTACTGCACTCCAGCCTGGGCGACAGAGCGAGACTCCGTCGCAAAAAAATAAATAAATAAATAAATAAAATAAATAAATACAATTATAGCTTGCTGGCTTTTTAAAAAAATAAAACCGGCTGGGCGCGGTGGCTCATGCCTGTAATCCCAGTACTTTGGGAGGCCGAGGTGGGCAGATCACGAGGTCAGGAGATCGAGACCATCCTGGCTAACACGGTGAAACCCCGTCTCTACTAAAAATACAAAGAATTACCCAGGCATGGGCCTGTAGTCCCACCTTCTCTGGAGGCTGAGGCAGGAGAATACCATGAACTCGGGAGGCAGAGCTTGCAGTGAGCCGAGATGGTGCCACTGCACCCCAGCCTGGGCGGCAGAGTGAGACTCCGTCTCAAAAAAACATAATAAAATAATAAAAAAATTAACCCATGCGACCACCATTAAAGACATAGCAACTTTCCAACATCCCAGAAGTCTCCCTTATATCTCTTCCCAATCATTACACCTCAAAGTTAACCATTATTTTGACCTCTATAATAGAATAGTATGGTTTGGTTTTGAACTTTATATAGATAGAATCACATAGTATGTACTGTTGTGTCTGACCTCCTTTGCTCAACATTATTTCTATACATAGATACATATAGATATAACATTATATTCATGTTGCTGTACATAGTAGTAGTTTGTAATTTAACCTTTCTTTTTTATTTTCGAGACAGTGTTTCATTCTGTACTCCAGGCTAGAGTGCAGTGACACTATCATAGCTCACTGCCACCTCAAACTCCTAGACTCAAGAAATCCTCCCACCTCAGCCTCAGCTCCCCAAGTAGCTAGGACTACAGGTGCATACCACCACCACACCCAGATAATTTAAAAAATTTATAGAGATGGGGTCTCACTATGTTCCCTGGGCTGTTCTTGAATTCCTGGCCTCAAGTGATCCCCATCTCAGCCTCTGAAAGTGCTGGGACGACAGGTGTGAGCCATAGCACCCACCCTTTATCGTGTAATTATTTTGTTAATTCCCTCTTGTTCACTCTCTCTACACATATCTGGTTGTATGTCTTAAGTCTTTAATTTACTACATAAATTACTAGAAATTAAGAGTTAGGTTGATCAGTATGTACAAAGTTTCAGTTATACGAGAGGAATAAGTTCTGGTGTTCTATTGCACAACACGATGACTATAGTTAATAATATTAAACATATGAACTGGAGGGGGAACAAATTAGTCTATAACAATTCCCAATATATATATTGAAAAAACAAAAAACAAAAAAAAAACTTGGCCAGGTGCCGTGGCTCACACCTTGTAATCTCAGCACTTTGGGAGGACAAGGTGGGCCAATCACTTGAGCCCAGGAGTTCAAGACCAGCCTGGGCAACATGGTGAAACCCCATCTCTACAAAAAAATACAAGAAATTAACTGGGTGTGGTTGTGTGTCTGTAGTCCCAGATACTTGGGAGACTGAGGTGGGAGAATCACTTGAGCCCTGGAAGTCAAGGCTGTAGTGAGCCATGATTGCACCACTGCACTCCAGCCTGGGCATTGGCGTGAGACCTTGTCTCAACAAAACAAAACTGCTCTTAATGTCAAGGGAAAGACCAGCCTGGGCAACATGGTGAAACCCCATCTCTACAAAAAAATACAAGAAATTAACTGGGTGTGGTTGTGTGTCTGTAGTCCCAGATACTTGGGAGACTGAGGTGGGAGAATCACTTGAGCCCTGGAAGTCAAGGCTGTAGTAAGCCATGATTGCACCACTGCACTCCAGCCTGGGCATCGGCGTGAGACCTTGTCTCAACAAAACAAAACTGCTCTTAATGTCAAGGGAAAGACCCAAAAACCTGACAGAAAAGATGGGTAAGAGAAATTAACAATTCACAAAAAATATGTAAAAGGGGCCCTTAAATGTGTAAAAAGAGAAATGCAAATTAAAATAATATAGAGAAAGGCCAGGTGAGGTGGCGTACACCTATAATGCCAGTGCTTTGGGAGCCTGAGGTGGGAGGTTTGCTTGAGGTCAGGAGGTTGAGGTTACAGTGAGCTATGATTACACCACTGCACTCTAGCCTGGACAACAAAGTGAGACCCTGTCTCTTGGTGGGGGGAGGGCGGAATACTGAGACCATTTTTAACCTATCAGGATGACAAAAATTAAAAAGTATAACAACATATTCTGTTGGTGAGACAGGATATAGTCGGCTGACTGATGACCCTGCAAAAAGATATGTCCATGTCCTAATCTCTGGAAACTGTGAATGTTACTTAATTTGGAAAGGGGGTCTTTGCAGATGAAATTAAGAATTTTGAGATGAGTAGTTCATCCTGGATTGTCTGCGTGGGTCCTAAATCCAGTGACAAGCATCCTTAAAAGAGACACAAGGAGATTGGCAGACAGAAGAAGAGGAGGCAGCAATGTGACCCTGGAGGTGGATCCACAGGTCAAGGAATGGCTACAGCCATCAGAGAAAGAGGCAAAGTGAGGATTCTCCCCTCGAATCTCTAGGAGTGGTCCAGCCCTGCTGATGTCTAGATTTTTGGAGTTTTGGCCTCCAGAATGTGACAGAGTAAACTATTGTTTAAAGCCACCAAGTTTGCGGTGACTTGTTAGAGCAGCCACAGGAATGAATGTACGGGGAATCGGGCAGTCTCATATACTGCTGGTGGGAAAACAAACTGGCACAACCCTTATGGTGGGAAATTTGACAACATGTACATAAACTACCTACATGTTTCCCTTGTGGCCCAGCCATTCCACTTTTAGGAATCTGCCCTGAAGATACAACTCCACCTATTAAAAAATACAGCCATTAGAATGGATGATGTTTACCACTTGTTGACAAAGAAAAATGTTCACTTGTGTTAAATGAGAAAGATAGGTTTCAGAACAGCAACAATGTTCTAGCTGATTCTGTTTTTAAAACTCAGTGTATGTAGAGAAGGACAGTAAAGGGATTTATCATGAAATGCAAAAAGGGGGCAACTGTTATTTTAGATTTCTTTATTAAAATTTTTAATTGACAATTGTATATATTTGTACAGTAATTGTACGTATTGTATGTACAATTGTATATTGATGTATATATTTGTACAATAATTGTATATATATTTATATGGTACAATGTGGTATTTCTATGCATGAACACATGATGGAATGATCAAATCAGGCTGGTTAGCATATCCATCACCTCAAATATTTACCATTTCTTTGTGGTGAGAACATATAAAATCCTATCTTTTCGCTATTTTGAAATATACAATACAGTAACTGTAGTCACTGTGTTGGGCAAAAGAACAGCAGAATGTATTCTTCCTATCTAAATGAAACTTTGTACCTGTTAACCAGCATTTCCCCTTTCCCCATCCACCACATCCCCACCCCCCAGCCTTTGGTAACCATCCTCCTAGTCTCTACTTCTAAGAGTTCAACTTTTTAGATTCCACATGTGAGATCATATAGTATTTGTCTCTCTGTGCCTGGCTTATTTCACTTAACATAACATCTTCTAGGTTTACCCATGTTGTTGCAAATGACAGAATTTCATGTTTAAGGCTGAATAGTATTCTACTGTATATATATCCTCCATTTAAAAAATCCATTCAGCTGGGCGTGGTGGCTCACGCCTGTAATCCCAGCACTTTGGGAGGCCAAGGCAGGCGGATCACAAGGTCAGGAGATCGCAACCATCCTGGCTAACACAGCAAAACCCCGTTTCTACTAAAAATACAAAAAAAAATTAGCCGGGCCTGGTGGCGGGTGCCTGCAGTCCCAGCTACTCGGGAGGCTGAGGCAGGAGAATGGCGTGCACCCGGGAGTCGGAGCTTGCAGTAAGCCGAGATCGTGCTACTGCACTCCAGCCTGGGCGACAGAGCGAGACTCGGGCATCTCAAAAAAATAAAAATAAAAAAATAAATCCATTCATACATTGATGGGTACTTAGCTTGTTTCCTTATCTTAGTTATTGTGAATAATTCTACAGTGAACATGGGAGTGCAGACATCTTTGACATACTGATGTCAATTCCTTGTGGGATTGCTGGATCATATGGTAATTCTATTTTTTGTTTTTTGAGGAAGCTCTACACTTTGTCAAAATGGCTGTAGTAATTTACAGTGCTCTCAACAGTGTGCAAGTGTTCCTTTTTTCTACATCCTCACCAACACTAATCTTTCATCTTTGTTTATAACAGCAGGTGTCTAACAGGTGCACGGTAATATCTCATGGTTTTTTTGTGGGGAATGCAGTCTCACTGTTGCCCTGGCTGGAGTGCAGTGGCACGATCTCGGCTCACTGCAACCTCCACCTCCTGGGTTCAAGCGATTTTCCTGCCTCAGCCTCCCAAGTAGCTGGGACTACAGGTGCGTATCACCATGCCTGGCAAATTTTTTGTATTTTTATTAGAGGTGGGGTTTCACCATGTTAGCCAGGATGGTCTCGATCTCCTGACTTCGTGATCTGCCCGGCTCGGCCTCCCAAAGTGCTGGGATTACAGTCGTGAGCCACTGCGCCCGGCCCCATTGTGGTTTTAATTTGCATTTCTCTGATGATTACAGATGTTTAGCATTTTTCATATATGTGTTGGCCATTTGTATGTCTTCTTATGAGAAATGTATACAAGTCCTTTGCCCATTTTTAATAGGGTTATTTGTATTCTTGTTAAGAAGTCTGAGTTCCTTTTACATTTTGGATATTAGCCCCTTATCCAATATATGATTTGCAAGGATTTTCTCCCAATCTTTGGGTTGTCTCTTCATCCTATTGTTTCCTTTGCTGTGCAGAATAGGATTCTGTTTTCTGAATTTTAATGCTTAGTATGTATTTCTTTTATAATCAGAAACTCTATAAGGCTAATCCTTCCCTCCTTAAAACTGGAAGAATTCTAGAAGGAGCTATGGGCACAGTGACACAGGGGGATGACGGTGAAGTGTCTTTGGGAACTCAGACTGAAAGGACCTCAGTTCTCTCCACTGGCCACTGAGGGAAAAGTTTCTCAAACAATACCTGGAAGTTTTGACTCTCATTTCAGCTGAGCATTTACCTGCAATGGCTTCCCTCTTCTTTGAGCCATCTTAACACATTACTCTCTACACATTCATGGCTATCTCCCTTTCTTCAATGGGGAAATCACATCTGGCTTAGAAATAAAAGGTCCTGTATATAGGAAAAGAAATTGGACTTAGGCCTGTTGTGGTGATGTCAATTCAGGGAGAGAAATAAACAACACAGAGGAAGATAAAGTCACCTTAGGTGTCAAGAAAATGAAACCTCAATACTAAAAACACAGTCGAGTGTTTCCAGCTATAAAAATGCCAGATCAGTTCTTCAAAAGCTCTCAAGAGACTCACAATGAAGGAAAATACTCCCAGCAAGCAGATTATAAATAATAAAGGAAAATATTGCATAAAAATTTTTATTTAGTTTTAATTTTTTATTTTTAAAATTGTATTTATTTTATTTATTTTTTGAGATGGAGTCTCACTCTGTCACCCAGGCTGCAGAGCAGTGGTGCAATCTCAGCTCACTCCACCTCCTGGGTTCAAGCTATTCTTCTGCCTCAGCCTCCCGAGTAGCTGGGATTACAGGTGCACACCACCATGCCTGGCTAACTTTTGCAGTTTTAGTAGAGATGGGGTTTAGACATGTTGGTCAGGCTGGTCTCGAACTCCTCACCTCAGGTGATCCACCTGCTTCGGCCTCCCAAAGTGCTGGGATTAATGGCGTAAACCACCGCGCCAGGCCTTTTTTTTTTTTTTTTTTTTGATACAGAGTCTCGCACTGTCGCCCAGGCTGGAATGCAGTGGCACAATCTCAGCTCACTGCAATCTCTGCCTCCCAAGTTCAAGCGATTCTCCTCCCAGCCTCCCAAGTAGCTGGGATTACAGGTGCCCGCCACAACACCTGGCTAATTTTTTGTATTTTTAGTAGAGACAGGGTTTCACTATGTTGGCCAGGATGGTCTTGAACCCCTGACCTCGTGATCCGGATCCGCCCACCTTGGTCTCCCAAAGTACTGGGATTACAGATGTGAGCCACCCCACTCAGTCTTTTTTTTTTTTTTTTTTTTTTTTTTTTGAGATGGAGTTTTGCTCTTGTTGCCCAGGCCGGAGTGCAATGGCATGGTCTCGGCTCACCACAACCTCTGCCTCCTGGGTTCATGTGATTCTTCTGCCTCAGCCTCCCAAGTAGCTGGGATTACAGGCATGTACCACTACACCTGGTTAATTTTGAGTTTTTAGTAGAGACGGGTTTTTTCTATGTTGGTCAGGCTAGTCTCGAACTTCCAACCTCAGGTGATCTGCCCACTTCTGCCTCCCAAAGTGCTGGGATTACAGGCATGAGCCACCATACCCAGCCCTATTTTTTATTTTTATAAATAGAGATGAGGTTTCACCATGTTGCCCAGGCTGGTATCGACCTCCTGGGCTCAAGCGATCCCCTGATTTTGCCCTTCCAAAGTGCTGGGATTACAAGCGTGAGCCACCGTGCCCGGCCAGGAAATTATTCTTAACTAGCAAGATTAGGCTCTGATGGCCAGGCGCGGTGGCTCAAGCCTGTAATCCCAGCACTTTGGGAGGCCGAGACGGGCGGATCACAAGGTCAGGAGATCGAGACCATCCTGGCTAACATGGTGAAACGCCATCTCCACTAAAAATACAAAAAACTAGCCGGGCGAGGTGGCAGGCGCCTGTAGTCCCAGCTACGTGGGAGGCTGAGGCAGGAGAATGGCATGAACCTGGGAGGCAGAGCTTGCAGTGAGCTGAGATCCGGCCACTGCACTCTAGCCTGGGTGACAAAGCGAGACTCCGTCTCAAAAAAAAAAAAAAAAAAAAAGATTAGGCTCTGACATCACATTCTTGCAGTTACATCCCTCTAAGCAGGGTTCAGCCACTCACTCTGCACCTGGAGAACTTTATGGTTATCCCTGGAAGTGACAGTCCTGCAAATGACAAAAAACACTCCAAATGTATTAGGTTGGTGCAAAAGTAATTCCGCTTTTTGCCACTGAAAGTAAGTCTCACATGACCCTGAGAGAAATGGGAGGCTGGGGTATACATAGTAGCTGCATAGCATATGGAAGAAATTTCTCTGGCTTGGTTCGGCTTTGAGTCTAGCAGGAATATACCTGTTTAAATATTCCAGAACTTCCCCACAACGAACTGTTAAGTGATCAGTTAAAAAAAAAAAAAAAGGTTGGCTGGGCACAGTGGCTCATACCTATAATCCCAGCGGTTTGGGAGGTTGAAGCGGGCAGATCACTTGAGGTCAGGAGTTCGAGACCAGCCTGGCCAACATGATGAAACCCCGTCTCAACTAAAAATACAAAAATTAGCCAGGTGTGGTGGCAGGAACCTGTAATCCCAGCTACTCGGCAGACTGAGGCAGAAGAATCGCTTGACCCAGGAGGCAGAGGTTGCAGTGAGTGGAGATGGTGCCAGTGCACTCCTGCCTGGTCAACTGAGTGAGACTCCATCTCAAAAAAAAAAAAAAAAAAAAAAGTTGTAGAATAATAGAAAAATATAGACAAATCCAAAACATGCTAAGAGTGGCTAAAGCAGGTAACTATATAATATGTACAGCTATACCATTTATCAAAGTATACATATGTACATACAGATACATGTACATATACATACAGACAGAATGTCAGACATTAGCAATAGAAAGAAAAATATCTAGAGGTATACTGAGTTTTTTTGTTTGAGACAGTCTTGCTGTGTCACCCAGGCTGGACTGCAGCAGCATGAACATGGCTCACTGCAGCCTTGACCTGCTGGGCTCAACTGCTCTTCCTGCCTCAGCCTCCTGTGTAGCTGGGACGACAGGCACACGCCACCACACCTGGCTAATTTTTTATTATTTTTAAAATTTTTATTATTTTTAATTATTTTTTTGAGATGGAGTCTCTCTGTCACCTAGGCTGGAGTGAAGTGGCACAATCTCGGCTCACTGCAACCTCTACCTCCCGGGTTCAAGCAATTCTCCTGCCTCAGCCTCCTAAGTAGCTGGGATTACAGGCACACGCCACCATGACTGGCTAATTTTTGTATTTTTAGTGGAGACGGGGTTTCACAATGTTGGTCAAGCTGGTTTCAAACTCCTGACCTCGTGATCCATCCGCCTCAGCCTCCCAAAGTGCTGGGATTACAAGCATGAGCCACCGT